ACTCCATATAGCACTAATAATGGAACCACAAAAATCTTTCTCAGATAAGAATAGCCTTTGGAATCTATTTTGGTAATAAAAAGCGTCTATAGCAACATACTTTTTCTTTGCCGTAAGGTGTCTCTAGGGTGGGCACAAAGCAAAATAATAGCTCATAAAGAATATTCCTTGAACTCTCCTGACACTTCACCATGGAGGCTCTGCTGAGAATGGTGACCACTGCTTTGGCATTCACTCTTGGGTAGGCTGAAGGACAAGGATGAATTCCTGCTCCAATACATATTTACCTTTGCAAAACTTATTTTTAATTTAGAACTTTGTCTGAACTGAATTTATAACTATGTGTTAGGCAGCCTTTGAAATGCTGGCCTAGGAAGCGCCAGACTGGTCTTAGAAACTGATACTTTAACTAGGGTGTTATGTAAACAGATGCTACTGATTTGGGAGGCATGTGATGACATCTTTGACTTCTCATCTGTCTTGCTAAAGCATAGGCTGACCTTGACCTAAGCACACAGCTCTTATTGAATTTCTGGGACTTTATGTAGGAGCTTGCTGTCATGGGCTGACATTCTGTGAGCAACGGGAGTCAGTGGCTCATTTTCATCTCTAAAGGTCAAAGGGCTGCATAATTCTTATTTCGGTGCTTTTTAGAGAGGTGTAGTTTCATAGGTTTGTTCTCCTGAAACTTCAGGGGATTCCAAATCCTCATACTCCTCAGAGATTTTAATTTAGTTCATGCATGGGTTTCAACTACCGTTTAAAGTTTTGTGCCTAGTGTTTCCCTTTCTAGTATGTCCATAGCGAAAAGATGCTTTAGCCAAAGGTCTTCCGTAATATCCCCTGCAAGGGCAGGAGGAAGAGCCCTCATCTGGGCAGAAAAGGGTGGGGAAGGAGTTTCTATGGACTATTCCTGTACTATTTCTATGGACTTTATCCCTTACAGACTCTCTCCCCAAGACCTGGAACTCAGTTTGGGAGATGGGCTTAGCTGCACAATGGAAAGGAGTCCCTGCCTGCTCTGTCATTCTCCTCCAGCCTGTCTAGCCTAGCCTAAATAGATTAGGTAAAACACACAGTTACTGTCTTTCCAGGAAGTTTACTTTTCAGCTCCATTCCTCTGTATACTCGAAAAACATGTTGTCTCCCAGACACAGGGCTACCTTCTGCTTTCTGACATGTCCAGTTAAGCAGTGTTGGTCTTTACACTTTGAAAGATAGCATGGCTTTTAAAATTTTTCAGGGGAAGAAAAATCCAAAAAAGAAAAAACAGATCTTTATTTTCTTTAGTTCCTGTTTATTATAACGAAGGAGTTTTGCTGCTCCCCACAGCTGCGGCAGGTGGTGCTCTTGATCCTTCCAAATGGAAATGGTACTTACTAAGCTCCAATAAGATCACAGTTATGCCATCCAGCACCAGGTTGCTGATTTTAGCCTTGTCCAGTTAGGACAAGGATCTGTTACTGAAGTGTTTTCTAACAGTAAAAGGGAAAAGAGAAAAAAAAGGTATTTTAACTGGGGCCTGGGTTTTGGCAGTAAATGAAGAAGAGGTCAATATGAGCAAAAACAATTAGTTGGACCGTGCATACCTACCCCTTCTGTAGTCCAGTATAGCATTATGTCCCAAGTTCAGATGACTAAGAGGCTAGTTTTGTAACTGCAGAGATTGTTGTAAGTAAAAGCTTGTACCTACTAAAGTATATGGTTCTACTGATGTAATTCCAGTTGTGCTATGGACTTTACTAGGATCGTACTTTTACCTACACATTGCGATTCCCCACTGCAAGCCCCAAAACATTAAGCAGCAGCTATTCTAATTTCATGCTCTTTGTTCTTGTGAGAACAGCCAGCCACACATTTCTCAGCCTGCAGCTAAAATCTGTGTTAGAGATCATGTATTTACTGTCTGTCATACCTTCTGAAGGAAGCTGAGCTATTTGGAAGTCTGATACATTTTACTTCATCTTTCTGTTAGGCTTTTAAGGTTTTGTCCATTCTGTTTCTACATCTTGTAAAATTTGGATCAGAAAGGCCATCATCAGTAGAGAGGTAAATTCTCTTCCAGTGGTTAACAAACAAGTTGTAATTAAAACTGGCAAGTGTCAATATAAAAGTAAAAAAAAAAAAAAAAGGAAGAAGAAGAAGAAGAGAACAAAAGAACACTGCAAATGGAAAACCCACCTCTCTAGATTTCAAGAGTCTTAGTTGAAAACATTTAGGAAAGTGACTAAGAATAAATGCTTCCAAACAGAACTTCAAAACTTTGAGGAGTAAAATATATGCAAGTTTTCTAGTCAGTGGCAACTGGATTCCTACCCATACTATTTTGCAGGAGTATTCCTGAAAAAGGCCCCGTTGCCTGTTCACATATGTTTTTCTTTTGAATTTTTCTTATAAATAATGTGTGCCTTAGGCATATAGTATTAAGTGAAAACAATACACCCACTTCATCTCTTCTAGCAGCATCTAGTGCTGCTGTTCCCCTGCCTTTTCCTGTGTATGTTCACTGACTTCAGAGATAATTGTAAAATAGGAGAAATTGTATGGTTGATCCAAGACATTATTAAAATGCACTTGTTCAGTTTTTTGGAGGTTTATTTTCTTGAAACACAAAGGTTAGACACCAACAGATGGAGCTGTTGATGCATTAATAAGGTTCAGTTTCACATTTGTTTTCTGGTCTATGGCTGGAGCTTGCTTATAAAAAAAAAGGAGAGAGAGAGAGAGAGAGAACAAAAAAAGAACAAAACAACAAAATCCCTAATGCTAAGCTTTTATCCAAGATGTTCTGCCCACACTGAACCGGTCACCATTTAACTTTAACCTGAACTGTGGCCCAGGAAATCCTTCAACATAAATAACCTTGGAAGCTGCCATGACCATTTTTGGAATATGCTCCCTCAATAAATCTGTTACTTTGTTGTGCAATGTTGAAGTGTGCAGTTGTTTCTCTGATTAATTAGGGCAAAAAATAAACTTGCACGATCAATCCAAGCTGTGACACGTTTCAGCCCTGGCTGGAACATGTGGTAGAAAAGGCTTTAGAGCCTTCTAAAGAGCTCTACCCTGGGACTGTATGATGCATGTTTGCTTTTAAGTTTACTTGATTTTGCTAGATAAGGTGGTTACTAACAAAGTTTCTAATTAAAGTTTTTGCCTGTCACAGGATTGCCATGGCAAGTTAGTAAGGGTAGGACTGAACAAAGTAAGAAATCATTTGTCTTGACCACCTGCCCTCTCTAAAGACAACGTAACAGAACTGTTTTACGTAATAGTGTTTATTTTATTTCACATATTACCCATGGAGAACAGCTGATACTTTCTCTACATCTTTCACCAGTTCGGAATGCAAGATTAAAAAAAAGGTATGGAAAGAGTTTAACAGCGTTTGACATTCACAATATGAAAAATAGAGGGGATACAATGTCTTAAAATGCCCTTATGCAATCTATATATATATTTATATATAAAAAAGTATATATTTTATTTCACATATTACCCATGGAGAACAGCTGATACTTTCTCTACATCTTTCACCAGTTCGGAATGCAAGATTAAAAAAAAGGTATGGAAAGAGTTTAACAGCGTTTGACATTCACAATATGAAAAATAGAGGGGATACAATGTCTTAAAATGCCCTTATGCAATCTATATATATATTTATATATAAAAAAGTATAAAAATAAAATATATTTTTCCAAAAAAAAAAAGATACGAATAGGACATGACACGGGACAATCTTAAATATCGATACGAATCTCATGACCCACACACACCGCACTTATAATTAACAAAAACCATGTACAATTGCACTTTTCCTCTCTGTGACGTTCAAGTATGTCGCAGTCCCCGCAGGGACTAGTGAGTGTCCGATTCCCTGCCGGGTGCAGATAACGCAGAGGGTAGAGCAGGTGTGGGGGACCTTTCCTTGCGGAGGCTGAACGAGGCCTGTCAAACAGTCCGGGGCAGCGGGCGAGGCCGCGGCCACGGGCTCGGGGGGCGCGCAGCCGCGGCCGCCCGGGGGCGCAC